ACCGCTGCCATCAGGTCCTGCAATGCCCCCCTCTGCGCTTCCCCCCACTCCCATGTCTTGTCCTCTCTTAACAGCCCGTTGAGCACTGCTGCTCGCCTGCTGAAGTTGGGTACGAACCGCCGGTAGTAGCTCAGGAATCCCAACACCGCTCTCAGCCCTGTCTTGTCCTTTGGCTCACGCAGCCTATCCAGCACCTCCACCTTCGCTTGCTGTATCCCGATCTGCCCCCCTTTTACCTCATAGCCCAGGTACTGAATGGTCTGCTGGCCCCACCTTCGGATGACACGAAGGGTCATGCTGCTTCTTCTGCTGCTTCTATTGCCGCCAGGGTCTTCTCCACGTCCTGCAGGTGCTGCTGCTCGGAGGTGCTGAAGATCACTACATCGTCTATGTAGCACGCCGCACACTCCACGTCCCTCAGCACTGCATCCATGACCCTCTGGAACACTGCTGATGCGTTCCTCAGCCCGAATGGCATATAAAGCCACTCATACGGCCCATGGAAGGCCGTCTTCTTGATGTCCTCCTCCCTGATTTTTATCTGGTTGAACCCCTGCCGCAGGTCCAGCGTCGTGAAGAACACCCCCTCCACCAACTTGTCAAATATCTCCTCCGCCATCGGCATTGGGTATCTGTCCGCCACAGTAATGTTGTTGAGCGCTCGGTAATCTCCGCACATCCTCCTGCTCAGGATCTCCCCTGTCAAGTCCTTCCTCGCTGCCACCACCGTTGGCGTGGCGTATTCTGACTCGGAGCGCCTGATCAGCCCGGCCGCTAGCAGCTCCTTAATCTTCTCCTTGCATATCTCCTCATCTCCGTGCGCCGCTGGAACACAGGCTCCGTGCTGCTCAGTTTCAGCTCCATCTCCTTCACCTTGCACCTTCCCAGTTCCTGCAGTGTGAAGGCAAAGCACTTCCTGTGCTTGGCTAGCAGCTCCAGCATGGCCCCCTTTCCCTCCTTGCTCATCGCTTCCCCCACTGTCCACTTCTCTCCCTCCTCTGCCTTGCAGCTCCACGCTCCTTGTGGGGCTGCTGCTGCCGCCACCTCCTCCGCTTCTTGCCCCCAGCCTAGGACCATCTCTCGCCACATCCTATGCAACAGCCACCTCATCATGTAGCCGTCCATGGCATTCCCCAGTGCCCTCCTCCTGTCTTCCTCACTCACCCCTGGTGCTGCTGTCACGTTCTGTCCATACCCCATAGCCAGCTCCCGCTCCAATGCCGTTGGTTCCTCCCATCGTCCCCTTTTGTGGTCATATACCAGCCCGGGCCCAGGCTTCCCCCCTTCCCACCTGTAGCCTGCTGCCCCTGCATACGCGACCAAGGTGGGCAGCGCCCTCCTGTCTTGCCCCACCTGGTTACACGGGTAATGCCTGCTGTAACTCCTTTGGCAGACTGGCGCGGGAGTCCGTCCTGGCTCTAGGATGTCCACCACCCTTCTCCCTGTTGCCCTCCTCATCCCCTCTGCTTCCTCCTGCAGGTCCATCACTGGAACCACGTTCTGCCAGTACATCCTGAGGTGGTGTGCGTACGATCCCGCTCTGGCTGCATCACAGCTCATCCCCTTACCCAAGTGCCTGCCTATCTTCTCCCTCACCAGCCGAATCGGCTCTCTGCAGTCCCCATCTAAGTCCAAATTCTCAAGCAAGAATGCTACTCTGCCCTGCCTTTCCTGCAGCCACTCCAAGATATTGAACAGGTTGTCCATCAGCTGCGTCCTCGGGTCCTCTCCCCCTTTTCCTCCTCCGGCCCATGACACTCCTTGACACTCCCGTCGCGCCACCAGCAGGTCCACCTGCCCCCAGCTAGCCACCTGCTCCTCTGTGATCTGACTCACGTCGTGCACGGTACCGCTCATGGCATCCTGAATCACTCGTTCGCTAAGGAGGTCCGGGAACTCCCTTCTCAGCTGCCGCGCATGATGTTCAGCCATCCTTCGCACCTGTGGTGCCTGCTCCACATAGATCCACTGCTGCACTGCAATCCCACTTCTCACCGCTGCTGCGAGCCCTGCCCCAATGCCCCCAAACAACTCCACCAGCCGAATGGGCTGCTGCCAGTCGCTCTGTTGCCCCGGCCTGTCCATCGGCTTCATCCTGGGCCCCCCTTGGCCTCTGTTGTCCCTCCTTGCCCCTTCTGTGCCCCTCCTGCCCCGACTTGATAGGCCCGCTTCGGTTCTACCTTCACAAACTGCACTGGCAGCTGCCCCAATGGTCCCTCCTTCTTCCAGTACCTCGTCCTGAACTCCACCTTCTCTGTCCAGGTACATATGCTCATGCCTACAGCGAACACCAGTTCAGTCCCCACCAGCAGATCGAAGTCCTCAGACTCCGAGATCCCGCACTTCATCCTGATCCTCGTTTCATGCTCTCCTCCTGGCAGCAGGGTCAACTCTATGGGGGTCCGCGTGCACGGCATCCACTTTGGTTCCCCTCCCTCTGCCGTCATGACCAGCATCCCCTTCGCCACGTGCCTCTCCGGTGCCATCAGCCCCAACCGTTCGGCCATCCCCCTACCCAACATCACGCTCTGTGCTCCTGTGTCAATGATTGCTGTCTTTACCTTCCTCCCCTCCACTTCCACTGCTCCTGCCTCCATAAGCAACACTGAGGTCTGGCACGCGAGCCTCTCCTGCGGGTGGCGGGCTGGGAGTTTCTCTGCCGCTGGCGCGTCCGGCTTGGACCCCTGCTCACGTGGCTTCCTGCTATGCTCCTGCCTGCCATCCTTCCCCCCGCTGCGCAGCCCCATCTCTTCCCTGCCTCTCCATGCCATGAGGGCACACTGCACGTCCGGCTCCACCCCTTCTCCCTCCTCGTCCATGGCATACATCCCTGCCTCCGCTCCCCACCCTGGCCCCATGGCCTGCAGTTGAGATTGCAGCCTGCTGATCTGCCGCTGCAACTCTTCCGGCTTCCTCCTTGCCCCTCCCTCCCGCTGGTAGCACTCCTTGGCCTCGTGCCCCTTTTTCCCGCAGACCTCACACCTTGCTGCCTCAGGACACTCTCGCTTCCTGTGCCCAGGCTTCCCGCAGCCATCACAGTTCTTGCACTCTCGGCGGAGGTGCCCCAGCTGTTTGCATCGGTAGCAAGCCCGCATGTCGGCTCTCTCTTCTCTATGCGGGTCCACCCTCCCCCGTTCTTCCGGTATCATCGCTGCCGCCCACGTTGGTCTGCGGCTCCTCTCCACCGGCCTCGGCAGGTAGGCCTCGTACTTCCTTTGTGCTAGCTCTACCCTCTCTGCCATGTCAAACACCTCTTCCAGTGCCGCCTCTGCCCCCAACTCATACACCCTCATTCTCAGTCCTCCCCCCAGCGCCTCGTCCAGGCCTCCAAGAAACTTGCTGATGAGGAGGCTGCTGTCCGAACACTTCACATCCTCCGCCAGATTGATCAGTCGGTTGTAGTAGGTCAGTAGGGATTCTGTCCGCCCCCTCCTGAACTCCTGAAACTCTTTTATGCACTCCGCCGTGTGCCCCGGGAACTGACGCTGCAGTCGCTCCAGAAATGCCTCAGTCGGATCCTCCCCGTACCTCCCCGCCCTCCACAGCAGCTCGTCCATCCTCATGCGGTACAGGTGTCAAAACACTATCGAAGCGGGTAACCGGGTTTAAGGAGGGCCTAGGCTTAGTAGCCTAGGCCAAGCTATTGTCGAGGTCAAGGCCAAGGGAGTGTCGAGAGAAATTGACCAAACAAGTTAGCTTCACTAAAGTAAAGCATACAAGATATAGTCGAGAAACAGAAACAAGAGGTGCACCACCAACAGCAAAGAACTATAACTACAGTAACTACAGCATGCAGGATATATCTTAAATATAACTTTGACACACCCCCTTAGCCTGCTTGCAGTAGGAACTAGAGTAGTCAACACCCCCTGAAGGGGTATAGCTGGCGCAGTGGGAGACGGCAGAGGGGTACGTGAGGGGAGGCGGCGAGAGGGAGAGAGGAGAGGAGAGGAGATGAGGACACAGGAGGAGGTGAGTGAGTGATGAGGAGAGGAGGTGGAGGGGTGGCCGCGGCGTCCCCTCTTACTAACCCCCTTTTACGAAAGGGGGGTTGAGTGGGGGATGAGGAGAGGAGGTGGGGGGGTGGCCGCAGCGTCCCCTCTTACTAACCCCCACATCCGCACCCCCAATCAACCACCGTCCTTCAACCTCACCCCGCATTTCAGCCACCCCCTGGAACCGCACCCCCTCCCTCCCTTCCTTCCTCCACACCCCTGCCCAACCCACAGTTGTCTCTGCCCTGTCCTTCACACTGCAGCCAGCCCTCCCACCCCCCCGCTCCCGCCACCTACCCCCCACAGTAGCAGCCGCGGGAGGGGAGAGGCAGGGCAGAGGGTGGTGCTCTACTGGCGGGGTTCTCTGCTGGCGGGGTTCTCTGCTGGCGGGGTTCTCTGCTGGCGGGGTTCTCTGCTGGCGGGGTTCTCTGCTGGCGGGGTTCTCTGCTGGCGGGGTTCTCTGCTGGCGGGGTTCTCTGCTGGCGGGGTTCTCTGCTGGCGGGGTTCTCTGCTGGCGGGGTTCTCTGCTGGCGGGGTTCTCTGCTGGCGGGGTTCTCTGCTGGTGGGGTTCTCTGCTGGCGGCTGGCCCTGGAGCTGGTGCTGGTGCTGGCGGCTGGCCCTGGAGCTGGTGCTGGTGCTGGCGGCTGGCCCTGGAGCTGGTGCTGGTGCTGGCGGCTGGCCCTGGTGCTGGTGCTGGCGGCTGGCCCTGGAGCTGGTGCTGGTGCTGGCGGCTGGCCCTGGTGCTGGTGCTGGTGCTGGCGGCTGGCCCTGGAGCTGGTGCTGGTGCTGGCGGCTGGCCCTGGAGCTGGTGCTGGTGCTGGCGGCTGGCCCTGGAGCTGGTGCTGGTGCTGGCGGCTGGCCCTGGAGCTGGTGCTGGTGCTGGCGGCTGGCCCTGGTGCTGGTGCTGGTGCTGGCGGCTGGCCCTGGAGCTGGTGCTGGTGCTGGCGGTGATCGCTGGTGTTCCGCCGCCACTCCCTTCCCCCTTTTCCTCTCTCTCCCCCACAGCATTCCGCCGCCACTCCCTTCCCCCTTTCCCACTCCCCCCCACAGAGTTCCGCCACCAATCCCTTCCCCTCCTCCCTCTCCCACCCACAGCGACCGCCGCTGCACACGCGAACAGTCGCGTCGGGGTGGGTGACGGGCAGCGACGGGGGGAGGAAGGGCCGCGACGTCCGCCACGGACGCCGTCTCCTTCATTCCCGATGCCGCCCCCCCCCCCTTTTCCCCACTCTCGCGCAAACTCGGCTGCAGGCGTAGGCGCGGGCAGAGGTGGTGACGGGGGGGAAAAGCGACGGGCTGACGACGAGGGAAACGCGACGGGCTGGCGACGGGGGGGACGCGACTGGCTGGCGACGGGGGAAAACGCGACAGGCTGGCGACGGGCAGGCGACGAGGGAAAAAACGACGGGCTGGCAACGAGGGAAACGCGGCCAGCTCGCCGCCGCGCCCGTCGCAGCGAGCGCCGTGCCGCGAATGGGTGGGCCCATTAACTTAGGTCAGGATTTTAATCGCTCTGATACCATGTCAAAACACTATCGAAGCGGGTAACCGGGTTTAAGGAGGGCCTAGGCTTAGTAGCCTAGGCCAAGCTATTGTCGAGGTCAAGGCCAAGGGAGTGTCGAGAGAAATTGACCAAACAAGTTAGCTTCACTAAAGCAAAGCATACAAGATATAGTCGAGAAACACAAACAAGAGGTGCACCACCAACAGCAAAGAACTATAACTACAGTAACTACAGCAAGCAGGATATATCTTAAATATAACTTTGACAACAGGGTCTCAGCCTCTCCCTCCAGTGTGTTCGGTAGGCTCAAAAAGAAGTCTATCGGGTCCATGCCTTGCCGGTCACAACGGTATTTCACATTCCCCACCTGCATTAAGTAATTCTTGAGGGCAGGCCCTGCCCGTTGGTATCTTGAGAACCTGGCGGGTACCTCTACCCGCGTCGCGCTGGCCGTACCTCCCCGCCCGTCTCCCCATGATTCCCTGCCCCTTCCCAGCCGCTCTCCCTCCGTCCTCCGTTCCTTAGCCCTCTCCAACCCTTCCCTGGCCTCCCGGGCCCGCTCCGCGCCATGTGCCAAGCTTCCTCCACCCGCTCTGCTCTCTCGCCGGCTCCAGCCCGCGTCCCCGTGAGCTTCCCTTCTGCCCCTCCCCTCATCCGCGCGTCCTCGCATTCGTGCCGGCGAGACTCGTGCACCCCCCCATCCTGCCGCGCTTGTCTCCCGCTGCCGCCACCTCTCTGGCGACGGCGACCAAGATGCGCCCCTCTCCTGCCGCCGCCGATCCACGGGCACGTGCCCGTCCCCGCCATCTTCCCTTCCCCGCTGCCGCCTGCCGAGCGGCGAGCGAAATTCCCCGCCCGTCCTCCTCTCCCACTGCTCCCGCGGGCCGGCTGTCCACGCCACCCCGCTTCGCTCCTCTTGCCGCTGGCCGCGCCTTTCCGCCGAACTGGGCCCTTCCTCGTGTCCCTCTCCCCGCCGCCAGTAGTGACTGGATGCGCGTGGCTCGTCCTCTTCGCCTTCCCTGCGCATCACCTGCCTGCCTGGCGATATTGCGCCGTCTCCGACCCCGCCTTCCTGCGCCCGCCGCCCGTCGAGTGCGTGAGGGTTGACAGGCTGCTGCTCCCACCGCCGCGGTTCTTCCCTTGCTGCGCGCAGCCCGCCCATGTCGCTTCTGCTGCGTTCTCCTTGCGCCCCACTAGCGCCGGCGCGCACGCCCCGGTCCCGCCGCTCCTGTCGACGCAGCCCCTCCGCGCTCTGCTCCTCCTGACGGCTGGCGTCCCGCTCGCGCAATTCCCACCGTCCCGATTGCGATCCTCCCGCTCCCACTTGGCTTGCACTCCCGGCGACCTCTGCCGCTCCATGCTCGGCGTTTCCGATCCCAGTCACGGGCTCCTCCTCGTCATCCCCTCCGTCAGCGTCTTCGGCCGCTCGCTCCAGGTGTGCGCCGGCCTCTTCCGCCTCCTCCTCGCTAGAAGTCTCCCATGATTCTTCCCCGTGGGCGGCTTCCCCCGCTCGGTCGGCGTCGAACCTCTCGACGCCACGCCAGCGGCCTCTCTCATCGCGGCGGCGCCCGCGTCCTTCCGGCGAGCGAAATTCTCCTACGGCGCGGCGGTCGTCGCTCCCATGCCCGCTATCTCCGCGATCCCGCTCTCTCTGCCCCGCGTCTCCGTCCGCGCTAGCGGCGTACGCTCCTACTCTCGGCCTCCCTTCCGCCCGCTGGTCCCTAGCGACCGGCACTCGATCTGCGCGGAAAGCCGGCCTGCGCGGCGAGCGCTCTAAGGATCGCCCGCGCTCACGTGACGGCTCACGCCGCGCCCGTTCCTCTTCGCGGCGACTAAACACCCGGCCCCAACGAAGCTCGTACTTATCCATAACTACAGGATAGAGCCTATTGTGTGGTATGAACGGGATTGCTCCCTCACCCCACAGGTTCCTCCTTAGTGCTGTGTCGCTGCGTGTTGAGGCTAGTATGACAACTATCCACTAGTTTGAGAGAATACCACACATTAGGCATCGAGTGAGTTGGCGTGGGTGAACTTACCCAACCTCGGTTTGCACATTTCCAATGTGCGGCTCGAGGTTGGGATTCGTTCAAATCCCCATTTCGCCCTTCGGTGCTTTTCCCCCGCTATCCCAACCCGCTCGCACATATTCCCCCCCCTTTCTACACCCCTTAGCAACCGACACTGCGCTACTGGCTGCAAAGCTACACTACTTCCTATTCATCTACTTCACTATATTCCTAACTATTCTAATACTACTTCTCAGCACCGCACGCTACTGTTATTGCATATGCATTCCTTGCATATGCGGTGACATTGAGCACAACGATGCCTTGCGCGTTTGAGCGCAGGCGCGTGTTGTCAGTAGATCTGCACTTTGGATGCCCGATTAATCCTAGGGGGGCTACAGGCGCGTTCGCCTGGGGGGTTATGGGCGCACTCTGACCCGCTACTTAACAAGCCCTTTTATCCCAATGGTCTAGTGGTTGGGATTCTGACACGTGTTGTTCGCCACGGTGATGTAGGTGACGGCGGGGGTGGCGACGGCGTTGGATATGTAACGCTCGGAGCCCACCATGTGCTGCCCACAGCAGCTATCCAAGTACCACGGGTTGTAGCGCCTGTTGTCGTTACGTGCGAGCAGCGCCAGTCGCGGAGTAACGATGTGTGGTGTGTCAACCTTTAGGAATTGTTCGCGCGCGATCCAATCGATCAGTGCCGCCCTCGTATCGGGTACGTGTGGGGGGCTCTCAAGCAGCGGGACTGCCAGGTTCCAGTCCTGGTCGTCGTCGTCAGTGAAATCGTGGCGCGTGCTGAACGGATTGTTGTTCGAAAACGCTCCGATTGGGTGACGCGCTTCCTCGGGTGATGGTGAGCGCGCACGGGGACGACGGGATCCGCTCGTCATTGTCATGTTGCCCATGACGTTGCGGACGGGCGCAGTTGGTGGCTGCTGCTGCTGATGCTGAATCGTTGGATTTAGGTTGCGCGGTGGGGGTTGATGCCCCTGGGCAGGACGCGTGTCATTCCTTGCGTCTTGTCGTCCGGACCAGTTGCTCGGATTGGTCTGACGAGGGCGAGATCGAGATCTGCCAGGTGCCCGAAGATTCTGCAAATTTTGCAGTAAAGGCGCCGTCGCTCCTCCGTGTTGTCGGCGTAGAGGGCGAGGCGTTCCCTGTCGCTCCTCCGTGTTGTCGGCGTAGAGGGCGAGGCGTTCCCTGTCTCGTCGCGGCGCTGCTCGCTGCTGGTCCATATCCCGTTGTTCGACGAGGAGGGCGGCGCATAGGGCGGCCTCCGAGATGACCCCCTGCTGTCGGAGAAGCGCCTTGCAGGGCCGCCACTCTGGGCCGAGCCCTTGAAGCACAATGTTCACGAAGATCTCCTCAGAGATTTTGCTTCCCAACTTCGCGATTCGATCGCGTAAGCTCCGACAGCGATTGATGTAGCTGTTGGCCTTCTCCCCTGGTGCCATTCTTGTCTCCAGTAGCTGGTGGAGTAGGCGGCTCGACGAAACCGAGTCCTTCGGTTGGTAAACGCCGTTCAGGTGGCGCCAAGCGTCGAGGGTTGGAGCAGGTGTTGTCTTGTATGAGCGAATGCTCAATTGCTCCGCCGGCGACATATTTCGCAGAAGAACTCCGTACGCAATCAAGCACTCGTTGTAGTACCTTGCCTTGGCGTCGTCAGTGTCTTCGGCGGGTCCCGAGTAGCTCCCGTCGAAATAGTGGAAGATCTGTGCGTTTTGCAGCAGCAGCTCCAGCTCGAAGCTCCACGTATAGAAGTCTCTTCCGTCAAAGCACACACTTGTCTTTATTTTTTATATACTCAGAAACCTTGATTGCGCAGAGAGAATTGCCTCTTCGCTGGGACGGGGAGTTTTGGGAGTTGAGCCATTGGTGTCGAGGGAGAAGGTATGCGGGGCGGTATTGTGGCCGTTCGAGGCCGTTTGAGAGGGTTGGGAAGAAGTTCCCGCGTCGCCGTTCCGCAATGTCTGGAGTTGTTGCTCCAGGCTGGTGAGTCGCTGAAGCATCTGTGCGAGGGCGGCGATTCCAATCGTCGTTGTTTCCTCGCTTGTCACAGCCGAGCTGGTCTGTGCTTCAGCCGTCAGATTCGTCTGACCACCAGATCCTCCGGCCATTCTCACGCGTGAGCGTGTGCCGGACGCCACTTTCCGATCGCCGAAGATTTCTGTGGTGGCGGTGCGAAGGATTCTTGAGTCGCTCTGATACCATGTTGCGATCAGAAGTTGATCGTGCCTAGGATCACCTCAGGAAGGTTCGCACACGACTGAGTAGTGGTGGTGGGCCCGTGACCTCAATATCAGAGTGAATATAAAATGCTTGAGATAATAAAAACATGCAAATACAGCACTATAAATAAGAGTACAAGGGAATACCAATCGACCTAGCCAGCCATGTACTCTAAGGGGTACATTCCCTTATTACAGCGAAATCCAACCGTGCGGCTCCAGACAGTTACAAAAACTGTCCGGGCAGAATCCTCGCCACTGCTGCTGCCTGATGTTGTCTGCCCGACGGTCCAGATCCTTTCGTAACCGTACGACCCTTCGCGTTACTTCCGTCCTTTCGTCTTCATTCTCGGTAGTGCGTGCTTCGATTGCTGCGGTAAGGAGTGCACAGTGATACTTCAATGATCACTATTCGTAACAGTTACTGAGCAGCTTTTGCGAATACTGGTTTTGTTATCCGAATTGTTTTTTCCTACAGGCTACTCTCCGTGGCGGGCCTCCTACTGTGTCAAGACACGTCTTGGTAAGCCGTTTCCTGCTAAATTGTTCAGTGTTCATTTCTGCTTCCCTTCCTTTGTGAGCTGTTGACATGACGAGCCCTGTCCTCGTCTCCCCGTTTCCATGGCTTCCAGGTGTCACACGGTATAGGAAGATGTGCAACGTGGTCAGCCACTTTCTCGTGTTTTGCTGTATCTTGGGAATTTTGTTTTTTTCATTCACGTTCACGGTATAGTGAAACATGCTGTCTTGTTTCATTGCAATTTTGCTTATGAAATGTTTCCGTGCCCTAATAATCAAAGCTCTAGTAATTTGCTTTTGCTAACATAATATACTGGCAATTAAGCCCGTGTCAAAACCAACAGTTATTGGGCACTATCAATAACAATTTGTGGTTATATTGGAACGTGATTTATAGTGCAAACAGTATACCGATACTAAAATCATATGCTGTATGATTTTAGCTTAAAGCGATAGAATGCTCGCGTAGGAGTTGTTACACGTTAAGCGGGAACGCACGTGATTAGGCCCAAACTTCGCTGGAGGTAACCTGTTGGTAAGGTTGGGGTAACATGAGGGTCACAGCTCGGGGTCACCTCAGTGTGACAACGAACTGAACAAACGACCGGGGTGACATCAGTGTATCCCTGTCGGCAACCCTGTCAGAACATATATATAGCTTATACTGTTGTGTAGGCTATAGTGGGGTATCCCATAGGGGGTACAACCCAATTAGGGTTTCCCATATGTACTCACTTCATTCATAGTTCATTCATCCTCGTTCTACTATTCTCATGGTATCGAGCAGGTTCCCTCGTGGGAACTGTTCCTAGGGCCCACCGTTTTTTTTTTCCTGCCCGGAGCGCACTCTGCCCCTACCCGGGTCGCGCTCCCCTCTCTCTTGGCCCCTAGTGGCCCCTTTAGCCGCCCGTCACGGCCCTTAGCCGCCCGCGCGCCGCCCGTCCCGGCCCCTTAGACGCACGCGCGCCGCCCGTCCCGGCCCCTAGACGCCAGTGCGCCGCCCGGCCCGGCCCCTAGACGCCCACGCGCCGCCCGTCCCGGCCCCTAGACGCCCGCGCGCCGCCCGTCCCGGCCCCTAGACGCCCGCGCGCCGCCAGTCCCGGCCCCTCGACGCCCGTGCGCCGCCCGTCCCGGCCCCTCGACGCCCGTGAGCCGCCCGTCCCGGCCCCTAGACGCCCGCGCGCCGCCCGTCCCGGCCCCTAGACGCCCGCGCGCCGCCCGTCCCGGCCCCTCGACGCCCACGCGCCGCCCGTCCCGGCCCCTAGACGCCCGCGCGCCACCCGGACCGACCCCTAGACGCCCGCGCGCCGCCCGTCCCGGCCCCTCGACGCCCGCGCGCCGC